GTGAGCTTCGTAAACAAACCTAGCGAACACGGCTGGTTTGTGTACAAGTTACATTGTGTGCAAGTCGTCTCTACATTGATATCGTAGAATAAATAAAGAGGAACACTCCCATTTTCATGTAACACCATTTTTAGAAGAAATGACGCTCTGGGTGAAGGCATACGAAAGGAATAATTTTCTGCAGTTATGCCTAGTAATACATTTTCTCTTATGTTGTATTAGAGAAAACTTTATTCTTGCTGTCACTCTTACAAGTTGTCTGGTACCACATCTCATATTCATGTTTATTTATTCCACTGTGGGGTGTATTTATCATCTTTATATGTTATGTATCATGTTTATTATATAATTTTGAAAAAATATAATAGCTGGATTAATGAAAATGTGTTTAGCATAATATATGACATTTAATGAGATTCAGTGATTATTATTGAGTATTATTATTATTATTATTACTAATATGGCGTCTCGAGACATAACACACTCTTGCTGATTTTAATGTGTACCTGTATGCCAGCACAGTGTGTAAGTTTATTTAGGTACAGGTATACATAAGTATAAATATCAGAGTACAGTGGACCCTCAACCAACGATATTAATCCGTTCCAGAGAGCTTATCGTTAGATGAATTTATTGTTAGTTGAATTAATTTTCCCCATAAGAAATAATGGAAATCCAGTTAATCTGTTCCAGACACTCAAAAGTATGAAATTATTATTTTTTTCACATGAAATGTACATTTTTCTACACAAAAAAAGAAGGATACATGCACAATAAATACTGTACTAAATGAAGAATAAATGACACCTTTATTGAAGATGTAGTGATGAGACACTGTTTTTCTTGAAAACGCTGGGATTTTCAGAGTGATACATGAGTAAAGGCTTCACTTTGCACTCCCCACTAGCATTACAACAAAACATGAGAGTTAGCCTGCCTTTCATAGGCTTGTGTCCTGGGAGTGCCTTTTCATCTTGAGTAATGTAGGTCCTGTTTGGCATTTTCTTCCAGAACAGGCCTGTTTCATCACAATTGAACACTTGTTGAGGGATGAATTTTTCAGCTGTGTATGCCACTATGATTCTTAAATCTCTCAAACCAACCTTTGCTGGCCTTAAATTCACCAATATGAGCACTAGTTCCAGGCATTTTTTCCTGTTCACCTGAGTGTTAGCTGACTGGTGTGGGCCGCATCCTGGGGACAAGATTAACCCATAAACGGTCCAAACGTATATATACGTTTTTTCAACATTTGAAAGTATGTAAAAAAGTAGATCTTCTTTTTTATTTTTTTACATTTGAAAATACAGTGGACCCTCAACCAGCGATGGCATCGATTAACGATAAATCTGACTAGCGATACATTTTAGCGCAAAAATTTTGCCTCGACTAGCGCTTAAAAACCTGACCAACGCTATTCGTTCCATTCAAGACGCGTCCACTTTGGCCTGAACGCGCCCCACTTGTCCCATGGGTGCCAAGCAGGACGTACATTACTCAGGAGGAAAAGGCACTCCCAGGACATAAGCCTATGAAAGACAGGCTTACTCTGTTGATGTGTGCCAATACTAGTGGTGATTGCAAAGTGAAACCTTTATTGGTGTATCACTCTGAAACTCCCAGAGTGTTCAGGAAAAACAATGTCGTCAAGGCTAATTTGTGTGTGCTGTGGAGGGCAAACAGTAAGGCATGGGTCACTAGGGACTTTTTCTATGACTTTTTACACCATGCATTTGCCCCCAATGTGAAAAATTACCTAATTGAAAAGAAATTAGACCTTAAGTGCCTCCTGGTATTAGACAATGCTGCTGGTCATCCTTCAGACTTGGCAGAGCGACTTTCTAGGGACATGAGCTTCATTAAGGTGAAGTTTTTGCCTCCTAATACCACTCCTCTCCTGCAGCCCATGGACCAGCAGGTCATTTCCAACTTCAAGAAACTGTACACAAAAGCTATGTTTGAAAGGTGCTTTGTAGTGACCTCAGAAACTCAACTGACTCTAAGAGAGTTTTGGAAAGATCACTTTACCATCCTCAATTGTGTAAACATTATAGGTAAGGCTTGGGAGGAAGTGACTAAGAGGACCTTGAACTCTGCTTGGAAAAAACTGTGGCCAGAATGTGTAGACAAAAGGGATTTTGAACGGTTTGAGGCTAACCCTGAGAATCCTATGCCAGTTGAGGAATCCATTGTGGCATTGGGGAAGTCCTTGGGGTTGGAGGTTAGTGGGGAGGATGTGGAAGAGTTGGTGGTGGAGGACAATGAAGAACTAACCACTGATGAGCTGCTAGATCATCTTCAAGAGGGCAGACCTGAGGAAACTGCTTCGGAGGAGGGGATAGAGAAATTGAAGTTTCCTACTTCTAAGATTAAGGAAATGTGTGCAAAGTGGCTTGAAGTGCAAACCTTTATTGATGAAAATCACCCTGACACAGCTACTGCAAGCCGTGTTGGCAACCTGTACACTGACAATGTTGTGAACCACTTTAGGAATGTCATAAAGGAACGAGAGGTACAGGTATCTATGGACAGATATGTTGTGCAACAGAAGTCCAGTGACTCTGAAGCTGGTCCTAGTGGCATTAAAAGAACAAGGGAACTAACCCCAGAAAAAGACTTGCTACCTCAAGTGCTAATGGAAGGGGATTCCCCTTCTAAACACTGAGAAGATCAATGCTCTCCCCTCCTCCCATCCCATCAATCATCACCAGATCTTCAATAAAGGTGTCTTGTAACTGTGCATGTCTTCTTCAGTTTGTGTGTATTAAAATTAATATTTCATGTGGTAAAATTTTCTTTATCAATACTTGGGGGTGTCTTGCACGGATTAATTTGATTTCAATTATTTCTTATGGGGAAAATTAACTTGACTAACGATTATTTCGATTAACGATGAGCTCTCAGGAACGGATTAATATCACTGGTTGAGGGTCCACTGTATGTAAAAAAAACTTTGATCTACTTTTTTTTTTTTTTTATATTTGAAAATATGTAAAAAACGTAGATCTACTTTTGTAGTACTACACATGTGAACGTAGATCTGCTTGGACCGTTTACAGGTTAAGGACCCCAATGGAAATAAGTTAGTCCTTGATGATGCACTGACTTTTTTGGGTTATCCTGGGTGATTAGCCCTCTGGGGTTAATTGTTTCTCGTTAAGCCACACCAACAACTCTCTCCACATCTTCGAGTAGTGCAGCTGACGGTGGTGCAGCAGCAGTTGACCGTGGTACGATAGTATTTCGATAATATTTCTAACCTTTTTTACCACAGGGTTGGCACTAGAAGCTTTCTTTGGGCCCATGGTGGCTTATTTAGCAGTTACAAGCACTAAAAACAGTGGAATAATACAAAATTTATCGACTATATGCGTGCAAACCAGATGGTTTGTAAATAGTGGCTTGTAAATAGTGGTACACTAGCTGAGCTGAGACGGACATGTTTCTGGACGAATGATGTTACTAGAGTTTTTCATCGTTGGTTGGGCCAAAAATTTTACACTAAAACACTTCGTTAGTCGATTTTATTATTAGATGATGCCTTTGTTGGTTGAGGGTCCACTATATATATAAAATATGAAATAACTTTTAAAAACACTTGATATTTTGGAGTTTCCAGATATAATGGAGAGATGTAGTGCTTACAAAGCTCACGGAGAATGTAAACAAACCGGGTGGGGCGCGATGACTGTATTAGAAAGTTAGGTGGGGGGAGCCGTACAGAGAGTTTTGGTCATAATTTTAAATGACCATATTAGCGGAAAGCCGTAAAGTGAAATGCCATAAAGCTGGGCTCTACTGTACACACTCAGTCACTGGATACATTCCTAGAAGTGCTGCAGTTTGTGGGACTCTTATAAACATGGTGTTATGCACATTGCTGCTTTACACTCCTCACACATAAAACGAGTGTCTGCATTTTTGTGGGTGGGTTGTTGTGGTTGTAGCTATGCAGTTTGTTTTGGTGTGTGGGTGGTTGAAGGTGGCCTTTGTTGTGGATGTGCTGAGTCACCAGCATGGCTACCAGCCTGGGGTGCTGCTGGTGCTACATGGCACATTACACCACCATCAACACCTGCTGCTGCATGTACATGTATATTATCCATCCCACTTGTAACATCACCCATTACCCATACCATCTTCCCCACCACCCACTTGGAAATAAGTCACTTTGTCTAACATTTTTTGGTTATCCTAGATTCTGTACACAGATGCTGCTATGTATGCTAATCTATGTAACTATTTGTGTATGACTGAATAAACTTACGTATTCTTTGAGACATGGGAAAATAAGAGCTTCCTCTTTTGCTGTGGTACAACTGAACGTGAACGAGATGGCCCCAGCATCAGAGGTGGAAGGATGATGGTCGTCAGGGTTTTCAGCACTATTTCTGGTATTCTGGGCATTGCTTTCGGTCACAAACTCCTCAAAACCATGAAATTCATCTTCACTGACATTTCCATCTGTGTTAGAACTATCACTTGGGAAGGGAAGAGTCCCATTTCGCCAGGGAGTGAGGTATTCTTTACCGCTAGGCATGGTGAACAAGGCGTACTGAATTGGCATTCCCACAATGCACTGCGGCCTCCCCAATTTTTTTTTTTATACTCTGCACACTGACCACACAAACCCATTCTCTCACGTGTAGGTCTACCAACTTTCTCCCGCTAGAATTTTGGCGTAATACAATGGCACCAACCAACACTGGCTTGCAAGCCGTAATATTACCGCACTGACAGTGAAAGGGTTAATGGTCACATGTTGATATTGGTTGCTAAAGTAAGATTTCATGTGTGATATAGTATATGTCTTCTTATTCCATAATGTGCTAATTTGAACAGCAGAATGTGTTTGTCTGCTGTACAGAAGTCATTTTTTAGGTCAAAGAGATCCATTGGCTATTCATTATTTTCAAGAGAGAAGTAGATTTAATTTTAGAGCTTACCTTCAATATAATAATAATAGTAAAAGTACAATATGTAATAATATTTTTTAACAGACTTTATGCTAAGGCAGTTTTTACTGGATACAAGCGTGGTCAAAGGGCGCAACATGAGAAAACAGCACTTTTGAAGGTGGATGGCGCCAAAAACAAGGACGATGGCAGATACTATATTGGAAAACGTTGTGCCTATGTTTACAAGGTAAGATTAGCGAACAGCCTTATTTTTCCTCTGGAAACTCTTGTTATTTTTCTGATAAAGTTAAAAGAAAGATTAGTTATAGGTTTGATAACTTATACTTTTTTTTTTTTTTTACGTTTTAGTGCAAAAAGAAGACCCCTTGCTCATACGGTGGCAAATCAAAGCTTCGTGTTATCTGGGGCAAGGTTACGCGCATTCATGGGAACTCGGGTGTTGTGCGTGCCAAGTTTGCCCGTTCCCTACCACCACGTGCTATGGGAAGGAGAGTCAGGGTTGTAAGTATATTACATATTAGCTTTATTTTTGGTTAGAATGTTTATTGTTCATAACTTGAAATATTCTAAATTTCTCTTCCTAAGATGGTTTGTATTTTAATAGGGCAGCTGTACTTCCCATCCAGATGATTGATATTTTAGGAATAAGACATGGAGCAAGTGAGACATTTATTGAAGGAAACATTTCACCACTGGTTGCCTTTCCTGTCCGGAGGATTGAAAAGTCGCCAGTGGTGAAATATCTCCTTTAATTAGTGTCTTTATTGTGCACATGTCTTATTCACAGTTTGTTGGTACATATTAACATACTAGTACATTTGATTTGATGAGGTTTGCCGGTACTGTCCTGGCCCGGGTCTTGTTCGTTTGGTGACCTGACACTGACTTGTGCATGTACAATGCTTTTTAGAGTAAATTTTTCATGTGCTTGAAAGGCTCTCATTTTGTACAAACAACAAATGAGTGGAACTACATTAAACTAGTTACATTCCCTCACCTCTTCACCTTCACTGGGTCACCTTACCATGGTGGCAGAGTCTAAAAACCCAGCAGCCCAGTTCTTGTCTGTAATGGTGAGATTTCCTCTTGAAAAAGACAGGAGTGATAATTGGAGACGTTAAGCCAGTCAGTGGCTTTGCCGAGTCTATACAGAACATCAAGTTGTAAAAACCATTCATCGTCACTTGCTCTTATCTAACACACGCATGCTTGCTGGAAGTCTAAGTGCCCCGCACACTAAACTTCCTTTACCCTCTCCCCCAACTTTCCCTAGATGACCCCTACCCCGCCTTCCTTCTACTATAGATTTATATGCCCTCCAAGTCATTCTCTTGTGTTCCATCCTCTTAACACTTGGTGTGCACAGTATTAAAAAAATCTGGGACCACTTAGTACCTTGTGGGAGCAGGTGTGCACAGTATTAAAAAAATCTGGGACCACTTAGTACCTTGCGGGAGCAACAGTTCAATTGAGCTCCAGCTAGAGCAAACAGCATGGCAAACACCAGGGATTCACTGATGTCATGTCATATTAACACTCCCGTTTTAAGAGGAAAGTGATGTTGACCTTGAGTTTAGTGGCTTTGAGATGGATGTTGCCACAAGTGGTTGAGGAAATATCAAAAACCTCGATAATAACCCATATGCAACATTTGTGCAGCATCCTTTCAATTTTGATACCACTGGTAGTGTCATCCTGCTAGAATGTCCTATAACCTATGCCCTAAGTAAAGAGAAACAGTTTGGGAACATATGTAATGTGTGTTTGGCTGGCTGGCTGACTAATTGACTTTGGCTGTATCTATCTCTGTCTCTTTCTATTTCTGTCTGTGTATCCCTGTATCTCTCTGTCTCTGTCTCACAGGTACACATAAATACAGTTATTATTCATGGTGTAAATTACCTAGGATAACCCAAAAAATCGAGACAAAGTACTATACTGTGCTTGTAGATATAAGGCATAATAAGCATGACTGGCAAGTAATATGCATTTTCACTTGTTCAGGAATCAGATGTGATGACTCTGCATTGTTGTGTAATACCTGTTGGTTCATGAGCGGCTGAGACAGAAAGACAGACACGTAGACAGAGAGAAAAAAAGACACACAGATAGACAGGAAGATAGACACAGACAGTGACAGATACAAACAAATAGGCAGTCTTGTTTATGTGTAACAGTGAAAACAAATAAAGCCAAGGTAGTGCACAGTCATCAGATGTCACTCCACTGCTGCACTGCCAGCAGTGGAGTGATACTCATCTTGCACCATGCTTCAAGGAGTTTCATGTATTATCCAGCATGTCTTACTAAAACATTTCTGGAATCTATAAATACTATGTATATATTTGTAGACAATAGTACATGACCAAGGCAGGTGAAAATGTTCACCTGTCAGTGTGTGTGTGACTATTTGAGTACTATTTCAGTACCTAATATTAGTGTCAGAACAAACATTGGCTATGAAATCACAAGAAATACTACAAATTGTAATTATCAAAACATAAAAAATATATAAATTAAAATAAAAACGAGGAAAAAAGGTATATCAGCAACATTTCTGCAAGCGACAGGACTCCGTGTTGCCATCAGGTGAGCATCCATAGCCAGCCTCGCAGTCTTATATCTTGGAAGTACTGACCCTAAAAAAAATTTTCTTTGGTCATATTACACAGACAATTGTCTTTAATTTAAAAAAAAAATTCCCCAAGAATATTCGGAGTGCTGGGCGAGAGAACGTAGATCCACATTTGGACAGTTAAGGAGTTAAGTAAGCTGTGAGTGGTAAATTTTGGCTTAGATTTGACACAGTGGGGATGTGGTGATTGTACACCATATAATAAAATCCTTTCCCATGCAGTGCAAGTTGGGAAAAACAAGGCTGTGACTGTGGTTTAACCCTTTGAGGGTTTCGGCCGTACTGGTACGGCTTACGACCCAGGGTTTTTGATGTACTAGTACGCCTAAATTCCAGTGCCTTCAAATCTAATGAGAGAAAGCTGGTAGGCCTACATATGAAAGAATGGGTCTATGTGGTCAGTGTGCGCAGTATAAAAAAAATCCTGCAGCACACAGTGCGTAATGAGAAAAAAAACTTTGACCGTGTTTTTGGAATAAAACAGCGACTTTGCACTGTATTTTCGTATGGTATTTATTGTTGTATTCTAGTTTTCTTGGTCTCATTTTATAGAATGAAAGACATATTACAGAAATTGAGATGTTTTTGACTGGTTTTACAATGAAAAGTACCTTGAAATTCAGCTCAAAGTAGCAGAAATGTTAAATTTTTACCAAAGTTCAAAAGTAAATAAATCATGCTATGCATCCAATATACGTCAACTGGTGAGTCTAATATTCTTTCACAAGTGCGCTGATATTATTTATACCATTTCTACACTAATGCAGTAGTCTGCATAACAGTAAATCTTCTGTTTTTTGTGAGAATAAAAATTCAAAGTGGAAAGCAAAAGAATGTAAGAGGGGCGTGAGGACGTGACTAATGAACAGAGGAAATGTTATTGTAGTGCCAGGAATGTCTTGTTTATTCTGGACCCTATTCAGAAATTGGCATATTTTGAAATTTGTGTGAAATTGGCAAAATTGCTAAATTCTGACCACTTTATTGAATAGTTGAAATCGGTAAATGGGTGGTTTCTTGTACTCATTCGATAGAAAAAATGGAGTTCTAGCGAAATAGTTATGATTTTTGTTGACTAGTACACTGAAATTGGCCGAAAATAGGGCTCAAAGTGGGCAAAATTGCCGATGCGTAAACATCGTCGAGACCGCTAACTTTACGAGAGCATAATACTGTAAGTTTTCCATCAAATTTCATACTTTTGGCGTCATTATGATTGGGAAAAGATTCTCTATCTTTTTTTTTTTTTTTTTTTTTTTGAATTTGGCGACCCTGAGAACAAGTCTAGGAGAGGGCCTGGCGACCCTGAAAGGGTTAAGAAATAGAATAAGTCTTTTATTTTTGTGGTAATATGAATTCAAAATGGAAAGGAAATGTAATATAGGAGAGGGCTGGGGACATGACTAATGAACAAAGAAATGTTTTAGGGCCATAAATGTCTATATTGTTTATTATGAACTGTTTTTTAATTGGCATTTTAATTTTGTGAAATTGACCAATTTACCAAATTCTGATCACTATAGGGTAGTTGAATGAGTGGTTTCTTGTGCTCAGTCAGTAGAATGGAAAGCATACTAACAAAATAGCTTTAGAATTTGGTAGATTGGTACAATGGAATTGTCTTAAAATAGGACTCAAAGTGGGTGAAATTGCTGGTGCATAAATTTGCCAAGACCGCTAACTTTGCACCTGCTTAATTCGGTAAGTTTTCTATCAAATTTCGTAATTTTGGTGTCATCTTCACGAAAAGATTCTCTACCATTTCATTCTTTTTCTTGTTTACTACTAGAGCAAGTTTCTTTTTTGGGGGTCTGGACAATGAAAGGGTTAAGATACAGTAAGCCTCTGCTTCATGATAGCAGGAAACATATATGTTATTAGTAAGAAATTTAAGGTACTGTACACCCATGCTTAGATAATCACTTAACTTAATTTTCATTATGTACTCAGAAAAAAACAAGAATTGTTTCCCCTGCTTAACAGTTGCCTCTTGCTCGTACAGTGACTAAATTCCTGGTGGCAGATCCCTTCTTTCCAGTTAACACTGCTTCCCGCTCATATACATCCACCAGAGGCCGGAGTGATATTCGGAGTTTCATACTACTATTTTGCTGTCTGAATATTTCTCAAAATTGGTATAGATTGACAAAATACAGATTTGGGTGTGGGAAATCTATTGAAGATATTTTGAACAAAATTCTGTGATTTGGCCTTAATTTGAGTATGTTTTGTCAAGTCAAAATAAAATAGAAATCTGGGCAAAGTACGTATATGTATTCCTGAAGTTTGGCTCTGAGAGGAAAACCGACAAACTTGTCAGTGAGCAAAAATTGTGTTTTCTTTCAAGTATCATTTACAGTAAGATTGATGAGTTCATCACTTTTACGCTGCCTTTTTCCCATTGAGAATATAGGGGTATTAGGCCATGTGGCCATGCCCAAAATGGTGATTTCGCTCCTGATATAGCCAACAACTTTGCCATTGTATTTAGCAAGTGAGGGAATGGCTTCCACCAGTAAGAGTTCTTCACTACCACTGATATCAGAGTCAAGCCGTCTGACTCGGCTAATCAGCACACGCAAATGTTCTCACTGCCCTCTCCTAACCTACCCTGACAAACAAGCACAGTACAGCTTTCACTTTGGTGATTACTTACCATACCTGTATTTACATTAGTTTCTCTTCTAATATTACTCCAAACTGGTTTTAGTGCTTTGCATTATTCAGCAGATTTGGGTGTGGGATATTCACTGAGCATATTTTGAACAAAATGGTTAGTTTTCAGTTTGAGTGTCTTGTGCCCAAGTAAAAAAAAAAAAACAGTGGCTTCATTTAAGTCTCATTAAATATCACTGGGAAATGTTGA